AATTGAATATTATGATTTTAAAAATGTTTGTAATTATAAAACTAAGTAGGTTAAAATATGGGCACTAAAGATAGATGTTCCATTCTGTTGGGAAAATACTGCATTGTGTAATATAAAATGCTGGTTGTTGAGGTGTGAAATAAAAAGGTGTATTATAGCAGCGTAGCAAAATTTTTAATGAAAAGTATTATTGTGTAAAGTATTCACTTTTTCCATTGAGCAACATGTTTCGTGATAATTTCACAGGTCCTTGAGTCCTTGAGTCTGAAAGAAATGAAATATCTGAAATTATCTTTGTGGGAGTTTTGAGTGACAAAGCATTTTCCTGCTAAATTAAAAAATTTCCTGCAACATCTGGAAAAGACAATAATGCATTGGGCTTAGATCTCCAACTTTGTGACAGAGCATTGCTGTGAAAGATAATTCTTTTTTTTTTTTTTTTTTCCTTTATCACTAATGATGACTAGAATTTAGCAAGTTTTTCTTTCATGGTGTCATTTTCCAAATGGATGACTGCAGTCATATCAGCCAGCTGGTAACCAGCTGGTAGAAAGTTATAATGGACAATAGCTCTCATTATTAGGCAGTTACCATGATCTTCTTTATACATAAACATTGAAATGTTAGTACTTGAAACATAATTTCAGTAAAATTCATTAAAATTCCTAAATGCATAAAATAGTTAATAAACAGCCATTCCATGCTCATAAAAATTTGAATAAATTGCTTAGCAAAGCCTTCCTCTTTTATTCATTATTGAGCTTATTTATTCAATTTTCAGCTGTAGTCAAATACACAGTTTTCAACTGCGCAGTTCCTGTACACCAGTGATGCAGCCTTTTTCCTTTTTACAAAATTCCTTACTAAGACTTCATGGTTTTCAAGTATCTCTAATCTCCTCTTTCAAAACGCATGACTTTCTTGTCTTCCCTTCTAGTATTCCATTACATGTCTTATGACTGTAATATTTTAATACTATAAAATTAATAAATTGCAATGAATAAGCAGAAATCAGTAAGTTTTTCTTTCTTATGGAATGATAATTTTAAGGCTGTTTTAAAGAAATCTTCATTAAAAGAAGTTGAAGTCCTTTTGTTCACCTCATTTTGTTTAGAAAACAATTGAATCCTTTGAAATGTAATATTCTGTTCTTTATTATTTGTTTGTAAGTTGAAACTTATTTTCAGATCAGAAGTTGTGTAATGTGTGAAATATTTCAATTTGATTTTTTTCAGTATATGATTCCTAAAAATCTTGCTTTTCATCATAGAATCAATTTTGTCAGATTCAAGAGTAGACGTGTATCTGCTGTGTAATACTAAATAAGAGTTTATTTATTATTATTATTTTAAATATTGGATAGTTTTGCACGTCCTTGAAGTCATTTATCATTGTAAAATTTCAAGCTTGACTGAAATGGACTGCTGTCTTCAAAAGAGTGCTTGATGAAGATCAAGATCTATTATCCATGGTGTAAAAAATCTTGTCTTAAATTACTTGCATTTTTATGTAAACAATAGTTTGCTTTAAACATCTTGAAAAGAATATAAATTAATTTAGAACAAGTAACGGTACAGTTCGGTTTTTAGGACCGGATTCAGAAATGCATGTATATGTGTACGTACAAATGTGTGTGTATATGTATACACATATATGCACATACATGCAATACACACGTGCATACATACATACATTTTTGAATCCGGTGCCAATAATAGAACAGTGCCCAAGTAACACTCAAATTGATTTGAATGTCAGAAGTGTAACAAAAGAAAACTATGCTGTAATGATTTATTCAATATTGAAAATATGCTTGGCTGCAAATCATTGTATATGATACACAATGGCAGAATGGAGTAAGGGTGGCTACATGCAATGCATAAAGAATCGAGTAATGCATTGGTGTCCAGCATACTCAATTTGACTAAGTGGACTATTTTTCTCAAGTCTTTGGTTATTACTTCAGTGCTGCAGAAATTCTGAAGTTCTATTCTGGGAGCCGTAACTGAGAAGCTTATTATATTTTACAAGGCCCACATTTCTTCTTAGAGAGTTTGGTTGAAGGTCTGTTTCATACAACGCAATTTTATTCGGGCAACTGTTGCGCAAGCCAGTTATAATGCAAGAAGCTCTGAGTTGGACTCTTTCCAATTTATGGAGATTGGTGGAAGAGGCACAACAGTAAACGGGGAAACCATATTCCAAAATAGGTCGTATGATAGCTGAGTAAGTAGCTCTCAAAGTGCAAGCATCGGCTCCCCAATCACGTCCCGAGATATACTTCAGAATGTTTAGGCGTTTTCTGCCTTTAAAAACCAGCGCATCCACATGTTTGTTTCTAGTGATCTCTGGATCGAGAACGAAGCCCAAATATTTGAGATGTTTGTCATATGTAAGAGGCAAATTATTCATAAAACCTTTGGATGATAATTATAAATCTTCTTATTGGTGGTAAAAAAAAAACTAACAATAGATTTAGTTGGATTAAAACTCAATTTGTGGTCTTTCGAGAATTTTCACACTTCTTCAAGGATAAAAAAAATCAATCATCGGTTGAGCTCTGTGTGCCCTCACTTTATCATTTATAAAATCCTCTCCAGCTGCTTCCTGGAAAATCCTCATATAACTTCCAAGAATTCATTCCTATAAAGCTATTCAGCCACAGTGTTTGCATTGAACATATGCAGCAGTGTATGGCCATACAGATGATGCTTCTCCGATACAGATGACGATTCTACCTCCATCTAAGTGGTCGATTTCCCATATGCTGGAGGGCCCCATCCTCTCTCCAGATGAAGATTTGTTGAGAATTGCTCTGTCTGTTAAATCTAAACTCATTACTGAAAGGATATAGCCTCTGCACCCAAGAATGGGGCACATGGCTCCTCGACAGACGGGCCTTTTTTTTTTTTTTTTTTTCCCAATTCTTGTCAAAGGGCATAAAAAGCCTGTTCTGCTGGGCATCTGTCAACAGTTTGCCAGGAAGTTAGAGAACCAGCAGTGAAGTCCTCTCCAGATAGAATCTCTCATTTCTGTGTGATGTCGTATATTTAATGCTATGTATTAATCCTCTTGCTGGTGTATAGCTCTTGGTGGTCATGACTGAGCCTAATAAAACTGTGTTGTTATTGAAATAAGGTGACTTGGTGATGAAAGTTGCAACAGATTGGCATTGGAGAGGATTGCGTAGTTAGCAAGATGACATTCGAAGAACACACATAATTTTATTTTTTGGATAATGCACATCATCTCTGTGGATGTGCTATGCACCCCCTAATTTTATATGACTTACATCTTAAACAATGCACAAATTTAGAAAAGTAAACTTTGCGTGGCTAGTGACACAGCAGAAAGCAGCTGAAGAGACAAGCAAAGAGAAGAGGGAGTTGCGATGTAATTAAGCTTTTATACGAATTCCATTTTGGATCACATGACAGTTTTATGTACAGATGTTGGGTTCAGCCTTTATAGATAAGTGCGCAATACGAGATAGACGACAGAACTTTTTTAGTTAGAAAATTTATTGCTCTGCTATTTTTGGAATGGAGACAGAAGTTAAAGGGCTATTAATTTATTATTTGAAAGATAGATATTTTATATATTATGAACATATAGTTTGGAATTAGCATCATGACCTGAATACTGGTATTTTGAGATGCCAAGTAACCATCAATCAACTTGCACTTGAAAGTAGCCTGCCTCAAGCCTACTGATGGCTGTCTATTTCAGTTCTTCGGGCCTATTTCCAGAATATTTACATTTTTGATGCTATTGTGATAGGAAGAGAGCACAGCGAAATTACATCCAAACAGCACAGAGGGGGGAGCTAAAAATGCATATTTATCCAGTATAGAAGCTCACCAAGAGGAATGTTTTGGTTTAGGTTAGAAAAGTTTCAATTCTCAAAATTTTGAGTTTCGAATAAGCTATGTCATCAGCTTTACGCAAGCTGTGTGGCATAGATTAATTTAGAAATGGCATAGTCGGGAAAGTTATTACTGCTTTGAGAACAGAGAGAGGAAATACCGAAATTAAAATTGAGGAATTAAGAAACTATTACTAAATTAAATTATAAAACTGATTTACTTGGCACTGTAATCTTTATTGCTGATTTACTTGGCACTCTTGGTATTTTTTATCGTACAAATATATTTATGTATATAAAACTGTTTAAAATATTTTTATATACATACATATATTTTTATGTAATATTTTAAAAGTCAGGCACATGAGTGAAGCTTTGGCAATCTGAACATTGAATTGTGGCATTGAGTGTGGCAAGGCGGCATCCAATGACGACACAGAAAGGATTCTAAATTTTATAGCTCCATATCTTTATTCAATTCAAAAGGCAGATCATCATTATTTACTTAATAAGATTAACTTTAAATTCACTACGTCACAGTATTCGAACAAAGGGGAGGTAGATGAGAAGAGCAGCAACATGGGTCTTAACAGCAGTAGAGGGAGAAAGCGGTCTCTGACACAAAATGGCCCGAATTCTTCATTTATAGAAGCAGATATGCAATATACTGGAATGTTTGTCGAAAGTACTGGTCTAGGGGGAAGATCCTGAAATTGCGGAAAGTTAATTAGAGGTTGCTTGTTCGCATAGAGCAAAGCCATCACATTTTTTATATTTTACATATATATGTTATCTATTGTAATTATATGCACACTTGAAAATTCTCTTCACCGACATAATTTTGGTTGTATGAAAAATTAAACATAAAAATATAATTAAGATGCTCACTTTGGGACTGTAAAAGAAATAAGTGTGTCTTGTTTTTCTTTCTGTATGATATTTCCATTTTATGTAGACTGAATTTAATCTCAAGCCCTTCTCAGTAAATCATATGCTTAGCAGAGGACATTATGTTTAGAAATCATGTGAAGTTTCCGTTTTTAGACTGTGATTTGAAGACTTATACCGCCAAGAAATTTATTTCTAGTGTATGGAAAAGCATATCTTTATATTTTTCTTTTTTACTTTATTCTAGCGATGAAGATGCAAAAAGAGCTTCTAGAAAATTTGCAAGGATACTCCAGCAATTAGGATTTAGAGTCAAGTTTACCAATTACAGAGTTGTCAATGTGTTAGGTACATGCACAATGGATTTTGGTATTAATTTGAATAAATTTGCTGAAAAGCATAGACGCTTAGCTAGGTAATTTCCCTTTTAATTATTTACTGAGTTGTTTTTTTATACTGTCTTTTGTTTTTTGTTATTGTATCAAGTTTATAACTTTCCTTAACATTTTCTAGAAATTATATCCAAAAGTCATTTTAAATTTTGCAGAAATATTTTTCAGAAATCATTCCTGTCCCTTTTTTTGAAAGTTTATTTATTTAACACATTTACTGTGATGTTGCTAAATATCTCAAGAAAATGGATCTGTTATATGTAACACTTATGAGCAGTGTGTTTGTTTTTACTAGAATATTCAAAGTCGGATAGTTAAAAGTTTCACTGTACTTATCTAGAATAACTGATTTTTGTTTCCCACGAAAATTAAGACTGATATGTTTAATTTACAAAAGGCAAATAGAGACGAAGACGATGTTGTTGAAAGCTACACAGGACCCTTTAAATAATAATAATGAGTTCAGATAAGCAGGAAGAAATGAAAGTAAGCAAAATAAGTAGTACACAGCATAACAATAGCTGGTAATAACTAAAGGAGAATGCAGATGTGAAGAAATCTGCATTAGCACATAAAATATATCTTAAAGTTCCTCAAATCATTCTCGGATGTAATCCTAACTTGTAATTCAGCTAGTTGCTGAATCTTGCAACTGATTGTGCAGCTGCATTGTGCTAGCTGTCTAAGTCATATTTATATCCTGTAGCATGAGTTCTGGAAAAAGTGCTGTAGGGTTTCAAAAATGTGTTTTCGCAAATCTTCCAAAAAGTCACCAAGTTGAGAAATTGCTAATGGCCTATTAAATTGTACATGTTTTTTGTTGCACTTCATTTAAACTTATTTAACTTGAATTACTGATCCCTCAAGGCCATTGAATATGATATCAAAAATTACAAATTTTGATTTTGGATGTCCCAGTCAATTTTTGTTATATGCAACTCAAACTTTTTATATTTTTATTTTTCATAACAAATATAAAACTTTCCCAAACATAAGTATCAAAAATAGCAAATTTTGATTTTGAATGTCCCAGCCAGTTTTTGTTATATGCAACTCAAACTTTTTATATTTTTATTATAACAAGACCAGGAACAACAATCTCTCATTACGATAATATGGTGCAAGTCTATCATAATGCCAACACCTTAGGTGTACAAAAAGGAGCTCTTTGTATATACACTACTACATAGTCCGGTTTTTTTATCACATAGTAGGACCCTTTTTGAATTCCTTCTCTGTCAACTTGGCATAATAATCTCTAATCTCATCTTTATCCCCTTGGTGTCTGTGTTGATCCCTCTCTTGGCAAACTGATGAATGTGTTCTAAATGTGCCTTTCAGATCTTCCAGGTACTGCCCAGGTAAAGAAGGTATATCTGACAGTCAGAAGATCAAGTTGCACGGCAGACTAAGATCTTAACCAAAAATTATTTGTGATGGAGAAAATACCTGCTCTCATGAATGGCTCTTTCATATGCTAGAAAGAATAGTGACAGTTTTTGGTCTCAGTCCTGTTGGCTGTGAGATACAGATAGGTGGAACTGGTCTAAGATTGTTCAAATGAATCTCTATCATCTCATCCAGCCATGCCTAAAGGAGTGGTTTCAGTCTTATCCGTTCCAAAAGTATTTCAACTATGATATAGATGTGAAGTTTGTTCCTTAATTAGAATAAATAATAAAAAAGGCAAAGTTTTAGTAGTTTCAAAAACTATGCCTGTACATTATAAATGTGAAAGTTCTGTTAGTAGAATACTTGGAAATTATATTAGAAAATAATGAACAGGTAAAATAATTCAACACTTGTCTGTAATCAGGACAAATTTAGCATCATCCTCTAAATCAATCAGTTTCAAATCCTGCCAAGCCACGCATATGGAATGATTAATTAATGAACATTCATTAATGTTTCTGCCATCCAATGCTTTTTATTTTTGATTCTATATCCAGTAGGCATTTGGAAGTGACATCTGAAATCTCGGTTTGTTGGGAAACAAATCATTTTTTCACACCTTTTCCCTGAATATTATATTCTCCATTCGTAGACTTTATAAAGAGGGGAAAATTTTAAATAAAGTTCTGTTGGTCCAGAAGTCCAGATATTGGATCATTTTGAATATTGGACACCCAGATTTTGTACTGTACTGACTTCTTTTCTTTGAATCAGTGACACCATTGATTCTAAGATAACTTAATTTTCATAGATGTTTACTCAAGAAAAACAATTATTTGTTTAACATAATTTTCACAGATGTTTACTCAGGGAAAACAATATTTGTTACAAGAATTAAAGAATTAAGTTTATTATTTTGTAGAAAACTGATTTTAATTCCATTTTTAGTTAATTTTATTTCATGCTGTAAATTTTATAATACATATATGTAATGATGTATAAATATTAATGGCATATAGATATTAATTCATTGTGATTAGCAATATTGGCAGCTGAGACAGATTAAATATTCATTTTTATTTCAATTTACATAGGCAGCCACAAATAATATGGCACTTTTATCATGCCAGTTTCCAGAAAGTTTACATTTTTGATATTGTTGTGATATGAAGAGCATCTTAATGGCATCGGCATGGCAGCATCTTAGCAGCAAGAAAGAAGCAAATTGCATAATTATCAGTTATGATAGCTTTTTAAGAGAAAGGTTTCAGCTCTCGAAATTTTCAGTTCCCAATTACCTATATTGTCATCATTATGTAAAAGTCATATGATATAGATTATCTAGAAATGACGCAGTTCAAAAAAGGTTTATTATAATCAGTTGATATTTTTAGAACAGAAAGAAAAAAGTGGCTATTTTAAGTTATAATTTTGATTTACCCATTTTTATCTTACACACACATACACATGTATATATGTACAGAAAGCGTGAGTAATATTTCCCATTTATTTATCTGCGGTAGCATTAATTATTTTTTCTCAAGCAAATTTATTTTGTTCATGTAAAGCAAATGTATAAAGTTACATGTGTGTGTTTGCATTAAAATGCCATACTGATTCTTTTTCTGTGATCTGCAGCTATGAACCTGAATTACATCCTGGCGCTACATACAAAATTAAAGAGCTTAAAGCAACCCTAAAATTATTTACCACTGGTAGCATAACCATAACAGGTAAAGTATATTGTTATTTTCTAACACAGAATCACTTCTACATATAATTTTTCAATAAAAGAGTAAGAAAGATTTTCCATGTCCTGTTGACATTCTTCATCTTTACCTCTTTTAAATAAAATTGATTTTATTAACATTTCAGTGAGTCTAATCTCCTTTCATTCTGAATGAAACTCAAAAGCTGTCATGCTTTGAAAGCATAAGGAAGGATTACATGTAGGATTGTTATTACTTGACATAATCTAAAAAATGTATTAAAGTTTTTTATATTTTGTCACAAGATATTTAAAGTATAGGGTGGAAAATTCAAGACCATGTCCTTCTCTTTTTCATTGGTTTCAAGCATTATGTATCTACCAAATGTTCAAAAAATAAAACAAAGTGTAATGTTTAGCATCCAGTATTGATGATAATCACAGAGGTTACACATTTACAGGTTACAGTGTTTACACATTTTTAGAACCATTTGGAGCGGTTTATTTAATGTTTAAAATCCAAAGAATATTTTTTTAAATGTTCACTGTCATAGTTTTTTTTTTTTTTTTTTTTTTTTTTTTTTTTATCCTGGACTTACTGGAGTCTACATTGTGATTACCGTGATGTTAGGAGACTTTGCGAGAATGCATTGAAAAAGTATAAATGCAATACTATAGCAATGTCCATTTTTTTTCAAGGAATGCAGTGATACTTCTCGAAGTATGACTTATTTCTTTGTCTTGATGAAGTTCACTTTGAAAGTCATAGGTATAAAGAATGGAATTTATTCTATAAATATCTGGAGTAAAATTTTCGTGTGAGAATATATGTTGATTTTAAGAATTTTTTCTCACTCTTCCTATTTTTAATTTTCCATTGTAAGAGAATTCTGCAACAATTATAAACCCCTTACTGAAACTTTTTTTGCATACTTGTAATTATGTTTGTCCATTTTTTCTTTTGTTCCCAGCAATAACATAGTTAAATTTCTAAAAAATTATTTGTGCCATATGAAGCTAACTGTTCTTCCAGAATGTTTATCATTTTTAACAATTGTTAATGCATTACATACAATCCATTGACTTAAATTTTCTTCTTTTTCTTAAAATATCTATAGGTATTTTGCATCATTACTCCTGTACTGAGTGAATAGTTGGTTTTTACGGTAATGTGATCTGGTTCACAAGCATTGCTTCAATTCATCTCTAATTTTTTTTTTTTTTTTTCTTCCTAGAAAGAACTTTTGGCTACACTAAACAAACCTTTCTCCAAACAACTATTTCTTCATAGTGCGTACTGTCCCATTTCACTTATTTTATACTTTCCAGAATAGTATGGACCAAGTAGTCGCTGAACACTGGTAGTTCAATCTGAGGTTCGAATCTCGTGAAAGAGCTGGCTGCATGGTTTGCCTCCATGTGGTAACGTGTATAAACCCACTTTCTTTCACGAAGGCATCCCTCCCCTTAGGCAGGTAGCCCTCTAGGTTTTGCCATAATTAAATAAACCAAACAAAGTAGTATGTATAAGTTAAACAAGATTATTTGATTTCTTCAAATACATGAAAGGTTTTTACTATATTGTACTGGCAAAAACTACTATGATTCCATCTTATAATTTCAGTTTAGCTCTGCTAAAGCCAGTAATTGAAAGGGGGTCTGCAAAAAGGATGTTCAGTTGTATCTTATGATAGTTTCAAATCCATACGTCGCAAGAAAAAACATTCCTGAATAGGAGAAATAGAAGTTCTTAATTATATTTTTGTGTAACCACAATAATCATGTAAAAAACATGAAATTCTCTCTTTTTTTTATTTCAACAGTTCTTTTCATCAAAATCTATTTCATTACTTTTAAAAACAATTTTTCATAAAATTTCCCAAATCTGAAATTTGTCCTCTCCTTATATATAGCATGATTTGTCGATCCACAAGATGTTCTTCCCATCGTTCTGATATACTCTGCCATAATTTTTTCACAACTGTTGATAGCCAAGCAGCATTTCATTCACTGATCATTGTTTATATATTGTACTTTGCCAACAGAAACCAAATGCAAATATCTGTCATATTGTCATATGAATGGCAGAAGAGTCTGGCATAGCTTCCTAAAGCTGTATGAATCTATGTAGTTACAATATTTCTAACTAGACCTACTAGTTTAATTACACTCTTGGGAGGTATCAGCGGTTTTAATCTGCCAATTTTTCTTGCTTCCCAGGTCGGGGTTAAAGTTTTAACATTTCCATTTAATTAATATATCGCTTTTTGTTGCATGTGGTATTTATTTTGCCAAAAATCTTGCAGATAGAATGACCTGTTTAATGGGAAGCAATTATCATGCTGCACGAAAGTTTATCAGCTGATACTTTGTGTTCATTTTGAGAGCATTATCTAACATATACATCTTGTGTTAGCTTGATTCTGTTTCAATATGTGTGTGGTCATCAGTGGAATTATGTTATATACTAGTAACCTTTTTGTTCTTCTCTGTTATATTCTACGTATACTCTCGATTATCCGGGCGATTGCTGATGAAGCAGGTTATGGATAATTGAAAAACATATAATCTAAACTGTCAATTTTTATGTATATTGTTTGTGTTTGTTTCTTAAAAAATGATATATGCAGAACAAATTGTACGATGTAATCATTGAAATTAAACCTAAAGATATAATTCAGCAGATTTTCAAGCATATTCTAATTTGCATTTTTTTTTTTTTTTTTTAAATCTATCTCATATAATATTGAGTGTGCTTGCATGATATCACAAACAGATTATCCGCACCCAGATAATTGAGACTACACTTTATTTTGATAATAAAAAACACGTAGTATAATAATAACATTATTAACAGTACTATTACTTAAATAAACTTGTGGTGATTTTCATATATTTTCTTATTGTATTGTTAAAATCTTGTGTTAGCTTGATTCTGTTTCAGTATGTGTGTGGTTATCAGTGGAATTATGTTATATACTAGTAACCTTTTTGTTCTTCTCTGTTATATTCTGTGTTCCCCTTTCTAAATTAAACTTCTTATTTCCAACAGCAAATTTCATAATCCTGTTTTAGTGTTTTTTTACAAAAGTAAATGCTTTAATTTTTTGCAACATTTAAAATCCAGGGTTATATAAAAAATGAATTTTAATTCTGCTTCATTTTATTAATTCTCTGTCATTTTCTATTACCTAGCTCCCAGTGTGGATAATGTGAGACTAGCTGTTGAACATATCTATCCGTTGGTGTATGAATTCAAGACACAGAAACCGCCTTCAAAAAATAAACTATCAATACCATATGCTATACGAGATCCATATACGAGAGTAAAAATTGAAGACTTTGATGAAGATTTTGAAGATCTGTCTGATCAAGAAAATATAAGTGACTTACATGATTTACCAGACAGTGATGGAAGCTGGGATTAATAATATTTTAGTAGTTCCTAGACTAGTCTGGTCACAAAGAAGGTTTTTAGGAACTTAAGCATCAGAACATCAGTCTTTTTCTAATCTTTAAGGTGTCCTGATAGAATAAATATTAAAATAAAACCCTAATTTCCTTTTTGTTTTTTGGGTTTGCAATGCAGTGGATAAAATTGTGTGCTGTTAAAAGGTAGCCCAAACAATTTCTGTGATCATTTTCTTTTCATAACTGCCATTACTAGCATGTAGGTAATAAACTATGTGTTGTTTTTATCATGATTACTAGTTAGCAAGGAAATAAATGTGTCATTTTTTTTAGCTCTTAAATAGTAAAAATTTCTCAAAAATGAAATATTATGTATGCATATATTCACACTTATACTTACATAGTCCTTTCATCCTTTAGTGTAAAAATATTTCAGTAAATGAGTCTGCCTCTTGTTTTCATTTTTCTCACATTTTATTTTAATAGTTTTCAGATTTATTTATTAAAGTGTGAAATACGTGTAATACATTTTTTCTGTTATTACTTAATATGATTTCATTGCTAGTCATCTTTATGAAAAGCTCTCAGCTTGAAATCTTAGTTATGAAAGATATCAAGCTATAATTTGTAAAACCAAGGTTTCATAAATGTTTTTAATTCCTGACTGTAAAGAGAGATGAAAAGAGCTTCTGTCTGTAATGCAAATTATTTACTCTTTCATTTTAAATCCATCACCTGTTAGTTGATTAACAATGTATAATAATATAATATGTAATTCAAATAACACTGAATAAATTTCAGCTTTGTAATAGGATTTGAAATAACTGATAATCAAAATAGTTTACTTTGGCTTTTGTGATTTTAATAAAGATCATAAACATTGTTTGCAAATGATCATTATATTCATATTTCTAATATGAATTACTCTTTAAATCTTTTTATCATAGATTCAATAGCATTGCTATATTTTTAGTCCAAAATGTGCTTTTATATCAATTTAGAATAAAACTTAAGGGGTAAAAAATGTATTGTTTGTTTTCTGTGCCGAAAACTTAATGGAGAACTTAAACTATTCAGAATAAAACTTAATGGCAAAAATATATTGTTGATTTTCCCCCTTATTATTTTTTTATATTATAATATTTATTTAAGAACATGTCAGACTTTTAGTTACAACTGATATCTCAATTCATAGATGCCATGTCAGACTTTTAGTTACAACTGATATCTCAATTCATAGATGCCACCTAGTAAAATATATTGTTTCCAAAATGGATATCTAATTTTTATTTAAATTTCTGTGAAGTTAAATAATATGGATTAAAAACTTCTTGAACAATTCCATACTTGCTTCAGCTGCATTAAACTAGACCAGTTTCAAGTTCTGCTCCAATCTCATGTAAAATACTTGTCTCCCTCCCCCATTTTGGAAATTATGAAATGTGTCTTCAGTAAATTTTATGTGCTGAAAATTATATATGTATGCATATTTGATTTTCAGCATGTAATCAACATAATATTTTGGGGAGGGCCCAGTTATGTGATTCTTCAATTATTTATTTTGAAGTTGAATATGAAAAAATTTTCTTTCTGCTTACTACAAATGTTTTTCATTTTCTATCTGAAATTGCAAAAATTGAACTGTATATTTCCTCTTAAAATAAAATCAACAAATTTTATTGAACACAGAATTTCTTCGTTATTACTGTGTTGTTTAATTTGTAAACTATGCACTCTTTTTTTTTAATTCTACTTTTTAAATATGAATATTGCCTACCTTATGAACGAACTGCGTTCTGAACAACCATTTGTAGCATGAATTTGTTTGTAAAATCTTACTAGGATCACTATGCAAATCTTACAATGTTCATGTGATAAGAGCTATAAATATTATCAGATAAATACAATACGTTATTAAAAAAACTAAAGGATTACTGTATTATGTACTATATACCTTGAATTGCTATTTTTTGTGTTATGTGTGAATGGGGGGGAGGATGAGGCCAGCGAATCTTTATGTGGATGACGATGAGAAGACTCATCGACAAGTAAAGAGGGCATTTCTGATAACCAGAATAGATGATTCAGTAAAGCAGATTTTCAAAATGTGTTCTTTCTTAAGAAAATACATGTCTAAACTTCTCTGAACAGGTCTTCTTTTTCCTTCTTTGTAAATAAAATGGTAACACTTCATTGTGCACTTTTTTTCCTTTGTGACATTTCGAATTTTCTTTTCGACTCTAAATAAATTTCACTCTTTGAGGATAGGTTTGTTCGTATGTGTCATAAATTTACTTTCCACCATATTTTATTTTTATATATCTAGCATTGTTGAAATAATTTTAATTTTCTTTTTCATATGGCAGATTTTATTGTCAGCTATTCTGATCCATGATCCATTCTGTTATACGAAAAGTTATTTTCAGTTACTCTTTAAACTTGCTTGGTTTAATCCCTTCCAAGATATCCATTTCATGTTGTATAAATACTAGTAATTATATTTTAAGAACCCATTGGACTTTGGGAAAGGGTGCTTCAGTGCTTTATATATGAATAATATTAAATGAATTAGAACATAAGATTTTTGTCAGGATCACCAAACTTAAATGATATTAAATATGCAAGATACAAATTTCTGTCATTGATAGTCTAACTTAAATACATTATAAAATTATCAGACCGAGTTTTTATTTTAAAGTGGTGTAACACTCTAGATCGAAAATTTTATCTTATCTACATCATTTCCTCTTTTTCTTAATGTTTTTATCTGATATTGGTATTGCAATTTAATTTTAAATTATTTGGTTTTAGAATAAGTTCAAAATTTGGCTGCTTAAGGTATTTATGTTATGCTACAGATTATCTTAAAATTAAAATAACACTTTTTGCATTGATATTTTGTCAAACAGCTATAAAGTGATGGGGAATATGATCCTGCTTGTATACAAAACTGTTTGATAATGAGTAGTAAACTAATATGTTTAATACAAAAATTAAGCAAAATTCCCTCTTTTCACAGAGGCTGGTTTTTAGTCCTTATAACATTACCCAAAAATAGAATAATTATATGTAATTTTCAAAAAGTTGTTTTAACTTATCATTAATTATAACCTATTTTTAAATTTAAATTCATTCTGATTTTTCATATTAAAAAAATGGAATCACTTAGATATTTAACTGTTATGCTGAATTTTTAAACAACAGTCCCCCCCCCCAATTGAGACAACCTATGAATTATTAAGGTGGAGCAAAATTTGAAATTTCTGTTTACAAAGCTGATTTTTATTTGTATTTTTGAACTATTTTATTATAAGTTTTTTCATCAAAAGAAAAAATAGTTAGCATCTGATTAAAAATTATTTTTGTTTTATTGTTTTAAAATAGCCAATCTTTCAATTCTAAGCAAAAAGTTAATTGCAAATAATGTATAATTAAGTTTATATGTGGATTGAATAATTTCATTAATACTGATTAGTTGAGATGGCCAGGTTTTTACTGTACTGTAAAATTTGGTTTAACTCATTGTAAAACTGATTGCAAACATAATATAGCTTGGTATTAATGTAAAGAAATAAAATTTGATCCAGATCTTTATAATCCAAAATAACAGTACAGTATTCTTGCGCATAAAAATACAACATATTTATTGAAGCTAATTTATGCTTATTTATTTTTTCATAAGAAAACTGCTGGTTATTAATAGTATTTCATAAAAATTTTATATCATGGTAATTATATCTTAAAGCAGTGCATCTTTATCATGAAAATGAATTGTACAAAATTTTAATGACTTTTTTTTTTTTTTTTTTGTATACTCTAGCAGTTAAGGCCTTTCCTCTTATGAATTCCTCCCACCTTTACCTGATTTTCAGGTTGTTATGTTGTATTTTGCGGTTAATGGCAAAGGTTTGTTTTTAAAAAACTATAATTTGTTATGTCGTGTATTTTAATGTATCTGTTCATCTTGGTTTACTTATTTTGTTAGGGTGCATGATTTTGTTCTTTGTTATTTTTATGTATGGTAGACTATGTATGCAATGCTTTTTCTCAATTTTTTTTTATTTGCGTCTGAAAGATGTTTCTGAGTCTTGATTTTATGAATGATAATTTTACACTAAGTATTTTAATAATAAGTTTTTAACTTAAAAATAATGTGTCATTCCAATACATCATTAAAGGAAATCAAAATTATTAAATGCTTTTAGTGGAACCATGGTATGTTCAATAGTGAATAAAAAAATGCGTGTAAAATAATAAATGACAATTTAGCAAATATATGATGAAAAGGAATATTGTGTTTTACATTCCTGTTTTTGGAATATCAGGAGGAAACATATGTTTCACATGTATGGAATCAAGTTTTTTTAAGAGATTTAAAAAACTTTATTGTGATAGTTTTTTAAATCTTAAAGTTATTTATTGTTGTCCTGTTAGTCAAACTACATATGATATATATATATATAATATACAAGTAAGTGCATTCCATATCACATGTGCTTTTATTTCTTAATTTATTAACCTAAATTATGCTAAGGAGTTTTTCAGTTAGTTGTAATAATGTTGTGTTTTTTTCTGGTTTATAACTTTGGGGAATCAATGACAGTTGCTTTTGTTGCTATTCCTGAATCCATTAAATTCTTTAAAAGCATTTATAGACAAGGTTTGCTTAATGTATGATTTGTATGTTTGTAATGATCTCTTACTTTTTTATGTGATCAGTTTTGAATTTCACTATAAAATACATCAAAATCAAATTATGTGCACTCACAAAGTGTCTTAAAAATTATTATTATATGCTAGCTTTTGACAATCATAAATATCCGGTCCAAATATTTCGTGACTCAATAATACTGTATTTCATTTCTTTTACTGGATTTTTACCATAATTAATCTGGAACTTAAATGTTTTTCCTTCATTTTGTTCTACACATCCAACATTTATTTTAATATATGATGTTCTTTTCTAATTTTGTATGAGGGAAGAAAAATTAAAGAGTTATTCTATATTAGTTTGTGA